CCAAAAAAAATACAACTCGCCACCAGCAACTGTACAGCTCAGAAGCATACCGGGATATCCTGCGATCACTGAGCTTGAGCAGTAGCGAGTAAAACCCGAAAAAGGGTGGGTGACCGAAACGGAACACGGCAGAACTACAAGCAGGGATATCTCGAGAACCAATGCACCGATCCGTTTTTTTCTTTTTTTCCCATTTTTGTTTCACCGAGGTAATAATATTTATATTTTTGCCATTCTTCCACCGATTTATGCAAGATTTAATCAATTAATCGATATTAGAATGGAACTGGTAGTGTGAAGAGGGTAGGGGGAGGAACGAAGGAAAGAATGTACGGTGGAGAAACGTCGGGGATACGTTTAGTTTCCACCTAATTTCAACGTACAACCTGGAAAAAATTGGAAAAAGAGACGGTATTTACGTCGAAAGTAGGTTGAATCGGTGCATTTGAGCCTGTACACTGGACAACGTACTTTCGACGTCCTAAACCCACCAATGGACCTTGAAACTACGTTGGGAGACCCGGTAAAATTTCGACTTGGGTCGTTCCTATATCACTGTTTGAATGATGGCGCTGTCGTTACGTTTTTGACCAATCCGGTGTCGTTATTCTTGTAACTACGTGCCTAGCTGAAACCATCAACTGAATCAGGGAATTTTGCAAAACTCAATCATATGGCAGCAGGGCGTAACCCACTCTATTTGCTAAAGGCATTGAAGAAAAGATGGGCAGACACATGCTATCCTTGTCTGATCTATTGGAAAGCGGGTAGTCCCCTAGTGCTATTAGTTCGTGAATTGGTCGAAAAACTCCCTACTTGCGTCAGCCGGATGGTAGTCATTACGCGTTAGAGTCCTCTGCTTCCAATTATTAATGATTTGAGTAGTTTACGGCTTAAATTTGTGTATTTCATGCTTGTACGTACGACCAAATTACATAGAAAAATCTTACGAATTCATTGTAAAAATTTAATTGGATTTTGATTCAACTCCCTATTATTTTTTTGCCGATTCTATCAATCCTCTGAACGAAACGCTCACTACGCACACAACGCCTACATAAGCAGGGTTGCCCATTCCCCCTCTTCTCTCACACCGAAAGGGTTTGGTTGGATTTTTCGTTCAGGAGTAGTTTCCGTTTAATAGTAAAAAAAAATTTATGTAGGGCTTTTCCAAAAACACAAAGTCCAAAAAACAATGTACGTTACGCGTGTAAAAACGGGGAACGTCAAACTCATGTATTAATATTTTTGGGGACAGTCCTCCTTATAACTGGCTCATCTTGTCTATCGCTCGGCTGCAGGTGTCCTACGACTATACCTTAAAACATTACCCCACTCGTATTAACATTCCCCCTTTTCCACACTTGTAACGTAATATATTTTGACACTGGTGTTACGTTCACCTCTTGCTCAAAAGTGTATTTTTGTTTACTCGTCAACGAAAAGTCTTTCAGAAGTTGAGTATATCGCATGCTGTGCTTCGCGCATCGTGCTTCAGTCTCGACTTTTGCATGGTGTGACATGAAATATTATAGATCACTTGGGCACAAATTTTGTTTTCGACGAATGTGAAGTTTACAGGCCGAGCCGAAGGTGAGGTACTGGAGCTCCCCGTGGTAAGGAAGTCCTTATATCGAAGCGACCTAGCCCTGATGATGCAGACCGAAATGTTTGCAAAACGTTGGCAAGAAGCTAAATCTAGACGCGGCATCCATCCGGAAGCCATAATAAATAATAAGGTTGGCCGCGAAAGCCTTAAAACTCAAACCGTACATTGCCTATATGATTTGTATTGGGGTATTCGTTGAATTTACGATTATTCATGATCTCGCGGATTTGCAGGTGTATTCCCAGAGATAAAATGTGTTTAATTGAATTTTTATTCATTTCATTAGTGGATAATAATATTGATAATAATAATAACACTAATAGATAAATGGGCATTTGGTGAATTTATTTCTCAAGATCATTTGCGTAAGTTTGATACTCCTCTAATATGTATTTGCGGCACCATCACCCCTCCCCCTTGTACATTTGAGAAGAGCTGTCTGTTGATTAAATTGATTAATTAAATTAAATTAATTAAATTATTTTAATTTCATTAAATTATAGTATAATGATCCTTTTTAAGGATTGAAAATAATTATTGATAATGTTTGATAAAACTTGATTTAAATAGTATAATAATAGTTAATTAAATTATCCGAAAAAAATGATTAAAATTAAGGTCAGATGGACCGGATCCGAATCTGATCATTTTCTTTTCACTTGATCCCTTTCAAATGACGATCAAATGCATCTAATCCGAATTTGATCAAATTGGGGTCAAGCAGTCTGACCTCAGGGTGAGATCATGCTTACCTGATCAGAACTTGATCTGCACTCGCCTGCAGTTTTTGGGATCCGATCTGCTAAATCAAAACTTGGTCAGGTTCTCATTCGGCATGACCTGATCATGTCTACCTGATCAGAACTTGATCTACACTCGCCTGCAGTTTTTGGGATCCGGTCTGCTAAATCAAAACTTGGTCAGGTTCTCATCCGGCATGACCTGATCATGTCTACCTGATCAGAACTTGATCTACACTCGCCTGCAGTTTTTGGGATCCGGTCTGCTAAATCAAAACTTGGTCAGGTTCTCATCCGGCATGACCTGATCATGTCTACCTGATCAGAACTTGATCTGAACCCGCCTACAGTTTCTGGGATCCTATCTACTGGATCAGAACTTGGTCAGGTTCTCATCCGGCATGACCTGATCATGTCTACCTGATCAGAACTTGATCTGAACCCGCCTACAGTTTCTGGGATCCTATCTACTGGATCAGAACTTGGTCAGGTTCTCATCCGGCATGACCTGATCATGTCTACCTGATCAGAACTTGATCTGAACCCGCCTACAGTTTCTGGGATCCTATCTACTGGATCAGAACTTGGTCAGGTTCTCATCCGGCATGACCTGATCATGTCTACCTGATCAGAACTTGATCTGAACCCGCCTACAGTTTCTGGGATCCTATCTACTGGATCAGAACTTGGTCAGGTTCTCATCAGGAATCACCGGATCAGTCGAGCCTTACAAAAACTAGATCAAGTTCTGATCGTTCTTCAGGTAGGCATGAAGCAATTTCCACTCGGAATTCGTATGATCATTTGACCTTTAGGGTCTGTTTGCACATTGTTCTCGTTTGACTCTTATATAAACCTTATGATCGTTTAACCCTCATAAGTGGTTGATCTGTAAGATTTTTGGAACTCTTTGCAACTACGAAAAAATGTCGGTACTTTTTCTTCCAGAATCGCTTACTTAGTTCCCTGTAAATTGCACAATGAGCAGAGAAAAATCTGTTCAAGTCAGAGATAAAGAAATTATTTAAAAAATGAACTTCGGGGAGATATATTGCGTGACTCCTCCGGGGTTTTATGTATTTTTTTTATGCGGTTAGAAATGAGAAAGGTAGGCATAAAATGACCCCCAGCGTAACAGGCGCGTCGAGTGTACGGTGGTTCTAGAGGGTCGATAACCGAGTTGTCAGATGCGCGTAAGCCGTGCCTTTCTACACAGCCTTGACTGTAACCTCGGTAGTGCCACCTCTCGTTTTTCATCGTTTAACTTGAATTCGAAACAATGTGAACGATCTTCTGACTATATCTTTAGTAAGATCTCTAGTCACGCTCTGCCCACATGAAACAATGAATAAACCGTCATTTAAAATTTGCATGCCCTTGCATCTAAAGACAATCTTTCTAATAATTAATCGGGAAGAAAACATTCACCCCTACACAAGGCAAATGAATAAAGGAAATTTCTACTTTGCAATGCATATTTGACCTCAGTTTTTTTGCACCTCAAAGTCAGTGTGTATTTTTATGTCTGTACCAATTTGCATTATTATCTGTAGAGTGAGACACATGGCTCATGTTTTACCAATGTTCGTAATATACGAAGTAATTAGTTAAAAAAAATCATGTGATGATGGAGAAAGAAAAACGTAATACATTACCAAAAAAATTGAAAAAGTTACGCTAATATTTCTGCAGTGTCGGCGACTCCAAACATAGAGAACGAGAATGAGCGACGACAAAATTATTAGATAGCGAAAATTTCACCTCAAAAAAAGACGAGTAAAGGCGTATAAAAATCCCATGGATTTTATTCTCCTAATATCTGTAAAATCTTGTCCAGAAAATTTTCAACAAAATATTCTCTTGATTAATTTTTTGGAATCTTGCTCCAATTTTTGACTACTGAACACGTTATAAGCAGTATATATACTAGAGAATGAAGAAAGAATCTATTTCATTACGAGAATGCGGAAAAGTGGTTTTTGGCTTGTGGAAGGTATTTTGCAAGTGCGAAGCTTTCACGAGGCCGGAATAGTACTTTTCCCAAAGTTGAAAGGAAATACCCCCCAACTCCTTCAATGAAAACTGATTCTTCCAATTACCGACATAATAATTCTACAAAATAATTCACTTATCATTCTTTAGCTTGATGATATTATTTCACCTTTTTGCCCCCCCCCCTCCCCCCCACGTTGGAATATTAATCAATTCCTTTAGCTCATATTGGAACATTTCCGGTTCAATACAATAACCATTGTTTCAATTAAAAGATGAAATCAACATACCGGTGCATGTTCTGATTAGGGAATCCAGTTTTATCACTGCGAAAAGATGTGCTGAATGTCATGACGGAGCACCGATGATGCTTATTTCCAATCGGACTCTCCTCCCTACGATTAGCGTCATAAACTCCGTCACGTCTACGAACCAACTCTCTCAGTCAGCTGATCGCACGACTCTTCAATACCTCTGTCATTTTTCGCATAATCGAGGAAATGTTGAACGCTACTCCTCAAATTCCACTAAAAAATGGAACCGCCCTTCTCTTCCTTTCAAAATAAGTAAATGGCGAGGAAGAATTATGTGTCACACAACAGAAATGTTCGAGAGATGGAATGTTTTCTTGAACTTTCACAGATTAAATTTTTCAATGTTTTTTTTTGGTTTCAAATTGCAGAGGTTGTCTGTGTGGTTGATATGTTCGTTTTTGTGGGATAAGTTCGATGCACTTAACTAGGCCACCAAGGAGTTTGTAATGCTGACGAGTAAGTGGTCTCTTCGTGTGACACGCTTGGCAGATAAATGCTCTCACTTTTTTTTTAATGATGAACGCGCTTCCGATGCAACGACTGTTACGGGAGTGTTAATAGTAGAAAAATAAAAATGCGAATGATACAGTGCACTGACCTCGTTGAATAATCACTCTATTTTTACTGTATTCTTTGACAATAAATTCGATATACTGTTTCGTTAGTAGATTTTATCTTCCGTTTTCTTCAATTAATATCACCTTAAATTCCTTTCTGCATCCTTCTATGTGGTTTTTCGAGTGTAAAACAATTATTCCTTCCAAACGTTGAGTGTATTTGTTATTTGGTATAACTTATGAATGGTCTAAAATTATATGAAATTAAAGGTATTTATCCATCGAGATTTGTTGATTCGTGTGAATTAAATTAAAATCCGGTTTTAGGCCACGAATCACTAATGACGTCGTTAACCGTGCAGCGTTCGCCAGCCGACTGACAGCAATCGAGAAAAAGGACCAGCCGATGGATGTCGGCCGCTGTGACGCCATCCCCCTCCCCAACCGCTCGTACCCCTTACGTCTATACTACCCCCCACTATGCTCACATGGGTGTGCTATATGTATAATCTGCCCTACGCTGCATTTTCATTCCACTTGGATACTCTATGACCGTACTCTGACCGGAAATCCGATTTTTTCTTTTTTCTGTAGTTTTTTTGTTTCCCTCCATTCGACCCATTTTTTCTGTTGTCGTAGTGTTCCTGAGAAAGGATAAGAGAAAACTCTAAAAATCTCCATGCTTAGGAGTTTTTGTTGAGAAATTCGACTATTTATCAGAAGGGAAAGTTTTGACATTCCAATCGAAAAGGAATGAACGTGGAATAGTATATTATATCATCAGGCCCACAAAGTATTTTCTAACGAATGTTAGATTATCTTTAACGCGAGTTATAATCCACGATGAAAACGAGGATTATATTGTTACGACCAAAAATGTTGAAGAAATTTATTTGTTTTAGTAGAAACAATAGATAATTTCGGAGTGAAATGCAATTGTAGATGACACTTTCAAAAAGAATCGAAATATAAGTACAGAATCAGTCACGTCATTTGTTAACAGTTTGAAATACAGATGAAAATACAAGAGAAGGATAAAATGAATAACAGAATAACAGATAAAAAGCACAAGAGAAGGAGATCACATTGTAAAACCTTAACAGTGAGCACATTCCTCAGAAATTATACTTTGAAACGCCTACAAAGGAAAGTTCGCATTTTGCTTCCCAAGGACAGGAAGGAATAGTACATTACATGCCTGAGCCTTGAAAAACAGATCAATCACCCTCACCTGCGGCTCGAAAGGCAATCTTACACGTGGGGGACGGTGATCTGTTTTCCAAGGCTCGGGCATGTTAGGTACTATTTCGTGTCGAGGCGCTGCGCGACACGAAATTGGCGGTTTTCAGGTCCCGTGACACGAAATAGTATATTTCGTAACGAGTGCAAAAAACATTTTTTCACGAGTTACGAACAATATTTTTCATCACAATGTGGCGGAAATTGGACTTTTAGGCACGCGGAGCGTGCCGAAAAGTTCACTTTTCGTCACAGCGTGATGAAAAGGCATATACTTTTTACCGGAGAGCGGAAAGCGCTCACTTTCTTGTACTCTTCAGGAAAAAAAAGTACTAACTTTCCGTGCAGGTGTGCGGAAATAATATATTCCCTCCTTAGGTAGAGAATATACTAATGTCCGCTTCGATCGGGGAAAACATAACTTTCTGCCCGTGGCGGCGCGCACAATTTACTATTATGTATATTCGATGGTTACGTTATCTCTCACAATAATGGGGCATGTTTGACTCAAAATATACTGAATACAATCACGACCATGGGAACCATGGTCAATCCCGTCAAAATTGACCCTCGTTATGTGGATATCTCTAGAAATCTTTATTATTTGAATGATAATCAGGAGAATGAGTGTATGTAGAAACAAATTTTATAAGAATATTTTGCACAAATTTACTACAGAGAATATATTTTGATATTTTTTTATATTAATAATTAGGAGAACAAATCATTTGACATGGACTGCTTTACCACGCCTCTAAAAAACGAATAAGAAATTAGAACTGTGAAAGATTCAGTCACCACTGTTTCAAAAATAGAATGAGAGTCAGATTGTAATCAGAACAGCCAGTGACACAAAATAGTTAAAAATATTTTGAAGCGACCAAGACCACATTGTGATTCAATGCAGAGTAGCACGTGGATGTGGAAAAGAATAAATGAATGTATCATACTTTTCTTGAGATTTGATTATTAGGCATTATTATGAAGAACTTTCATCAGCCCAATAGAAAAATCGCAGAACTATAGCGAATGAATAAAGTGGGAACCTTTATTTGTTATTATAACGAAGTTCCCGTGTCTGGATGACATCGAGTTAACATCGTGAAGAATTCAGCAGCAACGTGTACAATGTACATATTACAAATTTCGAGGTCAACCAGTTCGATGCAATTGTTCAATGTACGGTGAAAATTATATGGAACAGTACGATGCATTAAGGTAATTGGCCATTTCTCGATTTGATCACACTCGTCGGAGTGTAGGTGCTATCCACATCTACATTAATATCAGACGAAATACAATGTCCAACCCTCACATATACGTTGTCTGTAAAAACAGAAAAAAATTGATATTTCATGGGCATTTAGTAGACATTTACAGGAGAGTGATATTGAATTTGATTTGGGGGAAAAAATCATGAAATTGCGGATTTCACTGAACAATTGAACTAAAATTTATAACTTTCATTGATTTTTCCACAATATTTTCAATTTTCAAGGACAAAATTCCTCGACAATTTCAGTGAAACTACACGGCGAAAATTATTTGGTGAATTTCAACTAGTTGGTGAATTTCAATACCATCAAAGTTGACCCTCGTTGGTGAAATTTAACCAATTAATTGAAATTCAGAAAAGATTTTTCAATTTCATTCAATCAATTTTGACTACCAAAGTAGATGGTGAGGGGATATATATAGGGGAGGATGGGGCAAAACGGCCCCCCTTCAATCGTCAATATTTTCCGATTCAATAATCCGATTGGGATGAGTTAGAGCTCGTTTTGAAGAATGAAAAATTATCTTCAAAATGAAGTTGAAACTGGAAATTTTCACAATGTCATTCACAAGTTATTGACAATTGAAGGGGGGCCGTTTTGCCCCACCCTCCCCTATTTGGAAACAATCCGGCAATCATTTATATCGTGCCAATCGGTCAATGCCTCCTCTACAATTCCTTCATTGAAAATTTAACAAATGGTTGTCGAATGAAATTGAAAAATCTTTTTCTGAATTGTAATTAAATAGTTGTTAAATATCACTAACTAGTTGTTGAAATTCAACAACTGGTTGGTAATTCATTTTTTCAACAACTAGTAGGTGAATCTCAACCACTAGTTGAAATTCACCAAATAATTTTCTCCGTGTATAATGCAATTCCAGGCAAAAGTTTTCAACAGTGTATCCTGTGAAACAGGGATATGAATTCTTAGATTAATCTAGAAATGACGTACTCCCGAAGCTTTCATTCCAATTATTTGGAATTTCAGGAGGAAATACAGATGCACAAGGAACGGCCGAGCAATACAAATAGATAGACAGTCTAATGAGAAGCCTAACCTGAGCGCATTTCATAAACCACACAGCTTATTATCTATGGTACTTAGCAGCGTGTGCCAGGGTGCCGGTTTTTCACCCCCCCCCCCCCCC